GAAGAGTTTTGGGATGCTTTGGGTGATCTAGATGGTACCAATAATGAGGAAGTCATCAATGCCATCATGCATGACGTTGATACAGATAAGGTCAGTTTTAAGATTCACAAATAGAAAGGCACATACGGACGCAAGCATACACACTCAATCCTAGTGTGTTATTTGAACTTTTAGTGCCTTGGAGGGTGAGATATTATGCAGTGTTCTAAAATGCGTTAGGTTTGAGATGTCTTGCATATTGAGAAGGCGTGGAACAAGGCGATCAACTCTAAAATGTAGTCCCTTCTCTTTTTAAAGCTAAATAAACTATTGAATATAAAGAATAAATTATTAATGGCTTATTAAAATGAGTAAAACAATGGTCTCATTAAAACAAGATAACGCCTTAGTACACTCAGGCATGCCTATGCTTGTAAACCTTACCACATTGCCATGCCCTCGTGTCTTTTAGAACGTTGATATTATGACTCCTAAATATTCCAGGGAACTTTAAGCCATGCTTGGTAAAACGAAAAAGGTTGTATTGGATAATACTAAAAAGAAAAAGAAATCAAAATCTATAAGTTTCTGAACTAGCTTATTTTTCTATCTTTATGTTCTTGTTTTATTTCCTCCCTTTTCTGTTCCCACTTCCAATCCAATGTGAAAAGATTTTTATGAGTTGTAAAGATTAAATATCTAAATTAGCTTGAGATAATCGTTCTTTTACGAGGTTCAATAAATGTTTTGGGACATTTGATGATTTCTATGTTACGTTTCTGCATCTTTTGTTAATTGGTTTGGAATGTGCATTTAGTCTGCAATTTGTTAATTGAACTTTTTCTTTTACCGTTATCAGTGAGGAAAAGGAAGAAAAATACTATTGTTCAATTGAATAATAATTATGCCACTAAAATGGAATCTTTTTGAGCTCTTGCTGGTGACATTGACATAGAGAAGTTGAAAAGTTTTGTAATTCAAATGTTTCTCACATAAACGATGAAGATATATCCATTGTTCTTTCTCCGAGTCCTGATAAAGCCCGTCGAATAGTACTGGTTGACAAATTTAGTAGGATTTTTGATAGGATTTTGCTATGTCCATAAAAATGTCTATAATGGACACCCCTGTGTACATTGCTATGTACACATAGCAAAACCCTTTTTGATATGCTGGGTTTTAAATACATTTTCTGATTACTCATGCTAGAAAATAATGATTTGCTGAATCCATAACTTTTTGAAGTATAAGTTGAAATTTTTTCTTTGTCATTTCCGTCTCTCTCTACGTTCCCGCATTTGGGTAATTTCCGCGTGTGAATTTATTTTGTGAACTTGCCTTTTCATCTTTTCTTTCTCAGCTAAACCTCATCAACCATGAGAAACCATTCTCTTACAATTGTAATTTGGTATATGCTTTCATCTATGAGATAGAGATTGGCCATTGACTATTTTTACAATTCCATGGGCAGTTATATCGAATTATGTAACTATTACTACAAACAATTCATTTGCTGTATGAATTTTATATGATTCTTAGTCCACATGTAAATGAATTTTTTTTTTGTTCTGAAATCATATAATCTCTCTGTATGCTCAATAAAGGAAAGTTCATTCCAGTATAACCATAGCAAACATTGTGTTAAGAATGTAATTCATGAAAATTCAACACACATTTCCTTCAAAATAATAAAGCCTATGCAATCGAGTTAAGAATATAATTCATGAGAATTCAACACATTTAACACATTTACATTACATTTAGAATAATCCAGCCCGTGCAAAGACTAGTATTTATTAAAAGTGATGATTTTTTTGACGTACGATACCGTCGCGAATTGTCATGAATTTTATTGGTACTTTGCAGTCACAATTTTATTTGCAATGCTATAATTATGACTCTCCCCAAACCATCGGTAAATCATCACAAATTTTTTGGCGGATTATATACCATTGCCACGGGTTTTTGTTTTTCGTTGTTAGTCAACTTTCTTGGAGTCTTTTGATAGTTTGTTTGTAATAGTGATTTTTTAAATAACGTATGATTAAAAGTATGGTAAAATTTCAGGTTTACGTATAAAATTATTTTTCTGAGAGAATATATAGTTTAAACTAAGTTTTTTAAAAACTAGAATCATGGCTAAATGTTGATAAAAAGAAGGGTAAATTTCAATGGGTATACCAACCTTTTTATATTAGTGATTGTTTAGATACAATTATGGTCGAATTATAATTTGGAAGTCAAAGTTAAACTTAAACATTAGTTCTAATCACACGTTTACAATTATTATTAACTTATTATCCATATATTTTATGGGATCAATTACTTCTCATTTTCATTATAATCACATTATAATTCTCCCCAACAAGCATTGGGCGTAGTGTTCATGTCCTCAATCTACCATTCTTTACATTCATGTCTTGAACTATTCAAAATGAATAAAGCCTCTTGTACATTGTTTTTTTGACATCAAGTTTGACACCATGTGTAAATTCAAATTGTGTTTGGCGGGAAAGTGT